CCCCAAAACCCCAAAACCCCAAAACCCCAAAACCCCGGATTATTCAATAAGAATTGGATTATGAAATTATAAAATTTACTCTGACTGATAGTATGAAAAACATAAAGGTCCTTGAGAAGACACTGGACAGACACCACTTCCACCCTCTGAACTTCTTCGTTCCAGTTGACATTAAACAAGTCAAGCCTTACGAAGTCATGAGCGATTGCACAATTGTGTCGGTGTTTTCGTTCTACTCTGAGTCTCAGAAAGAACACTTGTTTCTCAAAGTCACATCGAGTGAGTCAAGACAGGACAAAGAAAACCTGACTTACCAGATTGAAGACAAGCCTCCATGAATGCTTAAGAAACACAACTCGTTCTCGTTCACAGAGAAAGACGGAAAGACTTACTTCTACTCGATCTACGAATTCATCGACGAGACACTGGATGACTTCATTCTGGAGAGACTCGAGTCGTGTAATTTTGACGAAATTTATACAAGCACCAATTCGGTTAGTCCCAGCTTCATCAAGCCTTGGGCCACTGGAGCTACCGTTGTCATCAAAGGGAGCAGCCCACAGCCAATGGTCAAGGCGCCAGACGAAGAAGCCATGCGCGAAGATGAACTCCTGTATTTGTGGAAAATTGTATATGCATTTGCTGACTTGCAGAAAGCCAGAATCTGCCATCTAGACATTCGGCCTGACAATATAGCTGTTGTTCCATTTAGCGAAGCCGACCATTTTGAAACCAGGAAAACCGAGTCTTCGGACTGAGCCGGACTCAGAAGGTCTGACTTCCTCAATGGCATCTACAGAGGGTCCGAGATCGACACGAACTATGGCTCGTGTGGGCCTGGCTCGAGAGCCAGCTTCAAGTCTTGTAAAGAACGTGGCAGGTAAGGCTCATTGACAATATGTAGGAAAACAGAGTCTGGGCCTTCAAATGGCAGAGTAAGCAGAAGTTCTAAGCTCAGCACCAGCAAGTACAACAGCAGAGGCTCTCAGTTCTGCTCTGGCTTCGACAAGTCAAGCAGCAAGCAAGGTATGTTCACTGTCTGATATGTTAGAAAAACCAATCGGAGCCAGATCCACTGACTTAAGCAACTCATCAATCATCGATAAAGTGCAGCTCAAAGTGTTTAACTTCGATGCTGCTGAAGTGATTGACGCTTCGATCCCTGACAAAGAAGTCGAGTACGGAATCCTGATGAAGGACTACCCTTGCTTCAATGACATTTATGCATCTAAGCACGTGCTCGATTACATCGAAGCCAACTCGAAAAAGCAAAAGCCTAATAGCGACACCGAGTCTTTACATGTCTACAAGCTGTGAGTGTCTGGATCAAGACACGGAATGAGATATGTCAAGAAGATCAACCCGTTCAAAGAAGATGTCTTCTCCTTCGGAATGACACTGCTGCAGCTCACCAAGCTCATTGGGTAAGTTCTTGAGTAATGTGTAGAGAGGAAGAACTCATGGGGATCAGAGAACTCATTGCCAACGAACAGTACAAAGAAGCCCTAGATGACTTGGAATATTCATTCCTTGTGAAAGTGTATCTACGGATCCTTTTGTGCAACAATTCAGATGAAAGACCAGACTTTATCCAGGCCAAGAAGCTTTACAACCAACTATTCTTGAACTCCCCTGAGGCCACTGAAGAGCTTAATGAAACCCTAGAACTATCCATTGATCTTGACAACTGAGAAGTCGAACTTATCTGTGGAATTATTGACAAATTCTTTGAAACCAAAAACCAAAATGCTCTGATTGCGACCAGACTTCACACTTTGGTGTGAGACACTCCAGTTGCCGAAGGGTCTGGAAACAAAAGTTCTAAATCATTCAAGAGTTTGCCATGCTCCAACATTAAAAGGCTTCCGGACGAAAACCACTACCACCCTCTTCAGCCTCTGAAGCTCGACGAGAAGTTCTCCAATTGCAATCGAGCCAACAGAGATTCAGACCCACACAAAGCCAACTTGGAAATCGACGAAAACTTCTGATTTTCGAAAGTAAAGGCTCAGCCAGCATCCAAAATGATGAAAGAACAGATTTCACACTCGAACAAAGTAATTCGGTGTCATGCTCACAATAGGCCAGCCACAGAGGCCTGCATGCTTCACCATTACGGAGAATATTTCTGTGACATGTGTAGCCACAAGTGAGGAGAAGTCGAGCAACTCGTCCAAGACTTCCATCCTACAAGCTCTAAAGCTGCTTTAAGAGAAGTTCAAGACAACACCCAGAGAAGAGTCAGCAGGCCTCGAGAAGTCATTCCTCGAACGAGTAGTGAAGCAGAAGTTGACAACTTGTACTTCGCAATATTTGATAACATGAAAGAGCTACAGACAGAAATCAAATATGCGAGAAACGGTAAAGGCTCCGATCTTGTCAGTGATATGCAGAAATAAGATTAAGGCTTGATGTAATGACCTCAGAGCAATCAATAAAGAACTTGACTTTGAATACCGAAATAATAATTCTTACGAAATCCACAAATTAACTGAGGAGTTCAACATGATTGAAGGTACATTTAACTTGTAATGGTTCTATAGGATATGTCCGAGACATCCGAGACGAAACCGACTACTTCCATGGCATCATTAATGACGAGCTTGGGTCATACGAGTATATATCAGAAGAACTAATCCTTCACATCCACAAGCGAATTAGGAAATATTTCTAAGCCAAAAATTAAAACTTAAATTTTAAATTTCTAGTTCAATTATATTTTACCGTTAGGGGTTTTGGGGTTTTGGGGTTTTGGGGTTTTGGGGTTTTGGGGTTTTGGGGTTTTGGGG